ATTAGAGTGATTGATGAGAGGAATGATTTGGGGAGTATTAATGAAGACAGTTTTAAACAGTTACAAGAATGGGTAGACATAAGGAATAACTTGTTGCATCAAAAAGCAAGACAAAAATGGCTGAAGGAGGGCAATACAAACAACAGGTACATCCATGCTTTTGTGGTTTCAAGGAGACACCAGAATAGCTTGACTGGAATAGTTCATAATGGGAGATAGGCTGATGGAGTCTAGGAAGTTAAGGAGACCGTAAAGGAGTTTTTCAGTGAAAAATTCAAAGAAGACAATTGGGGTAAACCAGTAGCGGAAGGTATTAAGTTCAAGAAGGTGGGCGATAAGGTAATTCTATACTGATGGTGGAATTTTTAGTGGAGGAGATAAAGGAGGTAGTGTGCGGTTATGGAGGTGGTAAAAGTCCTAGCCCAAATGAATTTAATTTTAACTTCATCAAGTGGATATGCAGTGTACTAGAAGAGCATATCTGCAGCTTCATCAGAGAATTTCACCAAAATGGGAAGCTGGTTAGAGGTTGCAATGCTTCTTTCATTGTATTGATTCTCGAGAAGTCAAATCCGCAAGGTATGAATGATTGCCAGTCTATCTCTTTGATTGGGTGCATGTACAAAATCATTTTGAAGCTACTGGCCAATAGATTGTGGAAGGTGATGAATAGCATAAGTGAAAACTAGTCTACATTTGTGGGAAGGAAGGAGGTAGATAACTGATGGCATTATCATTTTAAATGAAGTGATTCGTGATATGAAGCAAAGAAATAAGGCAGGGCTAATCTTTAAGCCCTTGTTTGGATAGAAAATAGTAAAGGGAAGGGAAGGGAGGGGAATGGAGGAAAATAAAAGGACATGGAGGGGGAGGAAAAGAAAGGGAAGGGAAGAAAATAGAAGGAAATGATTTGTGTTAATTTTGTTTGGATAAATAAAAATGAGGAAGGGAAAGGCAAGGGAAGGATTGTATTATTTTATGTTTGGATAATTAAGGTAAAAGGAAGGGAAAGAAAGGAAAGATTTAAATTAATTTTAAATTTACAAATTTATCCTTTAAACTTGTAATATAAAAAGATATAATAAAAAAATTAAAGTTAATTTTGTAATTACATTTAACTTAATCTAAACAGTCACTCAAATCCCTCCCAAACCCCCCAAATCAGACGAATTGCAAATCTACAGATTTAAGGGTGGTTGGAGGGAGTCCGAATCAGTCCATCTCCCTCCCCCTCTGCTTCTTTGAAAACGCAAACAGGAAGAAGGAGACAGCCCCCCCTCGCTGCCCCTCCCTTGCCATCCGTCCCCATCCCTTCCCCTCCCTCTCCGTCCGACACCTCCAATCCAAACAATACCTAAGACTAATTTTGAAAAGGCATACAATAGTGTGGATTTGAGATTTCGTCAAAGGCATACGATAGTGTGGATTCAGGATTTCTAGACTATATATTGGAAACAATAGGGTTCTGCTCAAGATGGAGAGCCTGGATAAAGGAATGTTTGTCAATAGCAATAGTCTTAGTGCTCATTAATATTAGCCCAATGGGAGAATTTAATGTTGTAAAGAGATTGAGGCAAGGTGATCTTCTCTCATTGTTTTTGTTATTTATTGTGGTGGAGGCTTTAAGTAGTTTGATGAGGAAAGCTAAGAAGATTGAACTCTTAAAAGTAGTACGAGTGGGCAATGAAGAGCTAGGCATATCTCACTTGCAGTTTGTGGATGATACCATCCTAGTTAGCAAGGCAGCAAAGGAGAATGCATGGGCAATGAAATGTGTAATGAGGTGTTTTGAGTTGATTTCTAGCCTTCAAGTGAACTATGATAAGAGTTGGCTATGTGGATTAAATGTAGAGAATAACACACTCGAAGAGTTGGCATCAACTATGAAGTATTATGTGGCAAGCATTCCATTCAAATATTTGGGAGTACCTGTAGGAGCAAATCCAAACAGAACATCTACATGGTGCTCGGTGATTGATTATATGAGGAGACTAGATAGATAGTTGGAGAGGAGCTACATTATCTTTTGGTGGAAAAATTGTCCTTTTCAATACCGTTTTATCTTGCTTATCCATGTATTTCTTCTTAATATACAAAGCCCCAAAAAGGTAATTAAAACACTCACCAAGCTTCAACGTAATTTTTTATAAGGTGGGGGGAAGGGTGAAAGGAAGATTGTGTGGATAAAATGGGAGGTGGTATGTATGAGAATATTAGAGGGAGGGTTAGGTGTTAGGAATCTTGAGTGTTTTAATAAAGCTTTATTAATAAAGTGGGAGTGGAGAGTCTTGAGGGAGAAAGAAGCATTATGAAGAAGAGTTATCTTTGAGCTTTATTAGTCTACTAGGGAAACGGTTGGGAAGGGTGTATACAGAATGCGAGAAGGTTCGTGTGGTTGAAAGGGTTGTGAAAATTGGAGAGGGTAGATGGTTTAAATAATGAGTGGTTAAAAGATGGTTTTGTAAGAATGGTACAGAAAGACAACGAGACACTGTTCTGGGAAGATATGTGGATAGGAACTGTGAGTTTAAACCTTTTTTTTTGGCTACTAATAAACAAGCGAAGGTAGCTAAGGTAGGCACGAGGGCGAAACGGGCGGGGAGACTGGGGGTGAGATTGGCGTAGAAATTTATTTGTTTAGGAATCCAATATCTTCCAAGAATTGGAAGAGCTCATAAGTCTAGTACATTTGCAACAAGGACAAGAGGATTGATAGGTATGGAAATGAGAGAGCAATGGAAAAGACACGTCTAAGTTTGCCTGTAATCAAATCACCCAGTCTTGACTAGGCCAGGAGTCAGATTATTTTAAGCAAATTTGGAATGGATCAATGCCCTTAAAAGTTGCAGTATTGGCATGGAGATCCTTGCTTGACAAATTACCTTCAAAAAACAATCGGCTAGAAGAGGAGTTATCACGGATAAGGAGGAAATCACGTACAGTTTGTGTTAAATTGAAGAAGAATCCTTGTCTCATTTGTTGTTTAAATGCTCTATTTATTGGAAGCTCTGGTCATACTACTTACCCTGGTGGGGCTCTTACTCAGTAGCACAAGCCGATGTTCAATGGCATTTTAAACAACACGTGGGGCTTGCTTATGATAAGGAACTTAGAGAACCCTGGATGGTGGTGTGGTTTGCAACTCTTTGGACCAAATGGAATTGGAGGAATCAGAAAGTATACGGGAAAGAATAGGACAATGAAGAGGCAGTTTGTGAGCTCATCAAGTGTAGGTTTTTCTACCGGGTTAAGGTTAATCTATTCCTTGATTTGTAGCAGGATCTATGGAAGGATAACCCCAAGATGGCAATAAGAGGGCAGGCTAAGATTTAATCTTTGAAGGGGTTGTGCCATGGTTATAATTATGAACTGTTTTCCTGTATGGGAAGGGTAGTAGCACTGTAAGTTGTGCAATGTTGATGAGACCTAAGAAAATAAATTTTTTAGTTAACCTAAAAAAAAAAAAAAATCAAGGATGGTCATACCGGCAACTTTTACCAATATGTATTACGCTAGAACGCAATATACTCTACAGTGGTAGTCCCCCTAAAATATCGAAAATTTTTAAAAAGTTAAATTATAAAATAAAAAATTAAAGTCTATATGTTAATTATTTGGTTAAAAAAAGCAAACTTAAAGTAAGCTGTCAATTATACCATAATTTATTGTATGAACTCACACTTACTTTTTTACTAATTTAAAATATAACCTTAACGTATTTAACACACTTCATAACAATAGGTTTTTAATTTCTTTTTGAACATTTTTTTTGTAATTATTGATTATTATAATTATTAATTGTTTTCAGCTAAAGTTTTTAAATTATTAATTATTTGATTTTTAATTTTCTTAAATGTAATTATTAATTGATTATATTATTTGTTTTCTAATTTGTATGAAAAAGAGCCTTTAGTCTTTTAATTAATTCTTCTTGGAGGTGAAGAAGAATTATAGTTAATTTCAAGTTGTTGTAAATTTATACTAATCATCATTTTTTTTATTTATATATACCTATTTCATAATTATTTATTAACTTTGTCAAACAAATATCCTAGCCCTAGATTTAAGTTTTATAATTATTATTCTTGTACTAGCTTCCTACAATACAAATCTACATTTTTAAACTTGATTTGTTTTGTTTTATATTATTTTATTTCGATTTGCTATTTAAGTTATTTGCACAAATTACTCTATTTTTAAAAAGACTTTAATGATTTGTTTTAATCAATTTATAAAGCATTTCATTTTATATTTATGATTATTTTATTTTTTATTTTTGAATTTTAAAATTTAAGTATTTTTAATCCGTGTTTTTATTTTATTATTGTTGTATTCTTATTTTTTATTATATTTAGAATATTTTTTATTTATAATTTATAAGTTATTTTAATAATAAAAAATTATAAATACTAAACAAACTATTTAACTTGAAAAAAATTCTTCTATAATTTATAGTTGTGGCCCTCCAACGCTAAATTCTGGTTACCCCACTGCTCCAAACGTGAACCACCTACTCACCGACGTGCTGCAAAGTCGGTGAACTCAGCTTTCTAGTAGTGATTCATAAGCTGGTGGAATCAAAAGTGCCAAGAAAGTAAAAATGATACTGAACACAGCTAATTTTTAAGATATTTTGAATCAGTTAACCACTCCAAAGGTACAGGCCTCTAATTCTATTTCAGTTTCCCATTTTACAGTTTTTCTACTTTTTTTTTTTAACAGATAGTTTTTCTACTTTTGTAATTTAAAAACTTATCAACGAAATTGAGCAAGTGCTAAGCTCTTCCATTCTCTACTTCTCTCTTTCAAAACATCACACACATAACTGAACCATTATATCAAAAAATAAACGCAACAGAACAATCAGTGTTATGCATCCATGATAAGTCTGGATGCATCTTGTCCAGAAAATCCGGGCCTCCAGACCTCTGGACCTAATACCCATGGACACAACATGATGCAATTCAAAGGAAAAAAAAAAAAAAAAAGAGATAAAATACCTGGTTCAAAATGAGTACTGAAGAAAACTCTGGTTCTCTTTGTACTCCGACCCTCTTGGATGTCCAAGTTTTCTCAAGATCTTTCTCTTTCTCTCTGTCTCTCTTCGTTTCTGGCTGATCTCTTTCTAATAATTTCATTATTTAAAGAGAAAACGTGTCATACTTCATTTCTTTTGCATTCTTTTTCGATTTTGAGGTTAAAGGGTAAGAAGGGATGAAAAGTTGGAGATTTTACGTTAATACTTTGCTTGGATCGAGAAAGTTGAGGAAAAAAAAAAAAAA